CTGGAAGAGGATTAGACAGATTCATGGAGGAGGAGAGAGAATGGCTCTGTCCTGCCTCCCTTTGTATGCACACAGAAAGGTTTCCCTTATACCCCTCCCTTCCCGGTTCAGAAAACCGGGCTCAGGGCGGCTAACAGCAAATTTAGAACACTTAATTGATGCTACAAAAAGCAGCATAAAATACAGTATAAAACGTGAATAACAATAAAATCAAAAATCAATTTAGAGGGGAAATCCATCCAATAAACATTAGATGATCACCAGGGTTATTGTTGTTTAGTCATTTAGTCGTGTCCGACTCTTCGTGACCCCCTGGACCAGAGCACGCCAGGCACTCCTGTCTTCCACTGCCTCCCGCAGTTTGGTCAAACTCATGCTGGTAGCTTCGAGAACACTGTCCAACCATCTCATCCTCTGTTGTCCCCTTCTCCTTGTGCTGGCTAAATTAGTCCTATTTGGGCCAGCGAGGAAGTCAGGGGAGAATTAGCTGTGGGATCCCAGAGCGGGTAATCTTCATAAAAAGGGGAGGGGGAGGGAAAGAAGGGGGATAAAAGATCAAACTAAGTTCAAATTGAAAGCCAGGAGTTATAGCTCTGTCTTACAGGCCCTGCAGAAGGAAGTTAAATCCTGCAGGGCCCTGGTCTCATGGGACAGAGCATTCCACCAGGTCGGAGCCATCACTGAGAAGGCCCTGGCCCTGGTGGAGGATAATCTGACTTCTTTACGACCTAGGACCTCTAAACTATGGTTGTTCATGGACCTTAAGGTCCTCTGTCCTCTGCAGACCAGGACAGGCGGTCCTGTAAATACGAGGGCCCTAAGCCACAAAGGGCTTTAAAGGTCAAAACCAGCACCTTAAACCTGACTCGATACTCCACAGGGAGTGGGAAGAGGGTTCTGGATGAGGGTCTGGACCGCTGGGCCTGATTCCTTGCGAGCAGCCAGAAGTGGTGCTGAGTCCCGCCCCCCCCCCCCGGCAGCCTCAAATGTTCTCTTCTTCCAGACTTATAACGTCTGTGAGGCTTCAATTATCACTCACCACTGCCCCAAAGCGATTAAGCTAACGATTTGCCGGCGACTGGCTGTTTCCCTCAACTTCTCCATCAGTCTCTGCTGACTCTCCTTTTGTAGAGGGTCCTTTTGCCAATTGTCACGCTGTCCCCCAGACTGTAATGTGCAGCCAGTGTTTTTGTCACGGAGAAGAATTTTTAAAATGCATCAGGACGTCTTGCCTCGCTCGGGAGCGCCTTGCTTCACAATGATCCACTTAAGAGAGCTTTACAAGTAGGAAGAAAAGAGAACATCCACAGGTTTGGATAACAAGTGGGAGGTTTGTCTGTGTCCGTCTTGATTCTAGAGCGCCATAGATCTGTAACTTTCTTCCACGGAGTCTGGTGTGAATCAGAAGTAAAATTGACTTACCCCAAGCCAATGCTGTATGGAAAGAGAACATAGGAATTATATCAGGCTTCCTCAACCTTGGCCCTCCAGATGTTTTTGGCCTACAACTCCCATGATCCCTAGCTAGCAGGACCAGTGGTCAGGGATGATGGGAATTGTAGTCTCAAAACATCTGGAGGGCTGAGGAAGCCTGAATTAGATGGTTCGTCCTTGAGATGGAACGAAACATGCAACAAGTTGAGGGAGACCCCAGCAAGCTTAGGAAGTTGTTGGCCTTTAACAACGGACTTCTCCTGGATCTTTTTACAATTATTTGCAGCTGTGAGAATCACTTGTGCAGTGGCTCAGATGGAAGGATGGAGGCTTGGGGAATAATAATAATAATAATTTATTATTTGTACCCCGCCCATCTGGCTGGGTTTCCCCAGCCACTCTGGGCGGCTTCCATAAAAACCAAAGATACAGTAAAATATCATAGATTAAAAACGTCCCTGAACAGGGCTGCCTTAAGATGTCTTCTGAATGTCAGGTAGTTATTTATCGCTTTGACATCTGATGGGAGGGCGTTCCACAGGGCGGGCGCCACTACCGAGAAGGCCCTCTGCCTGGTTCCCTGTAGCTTTGCTTCTCGCAATGAGGGAACCGCCAGAAGGCCCTCGGCGCTAGACCTCAGCGTCCGGGCAGAACAATGGGGGTGGAAGTCATAGAAGCACAGAATTGTAGAGTTGGAAGGGACCCTGAGGGTCATCCAGTCCAACCTCCTGCAATGCAGGAATCGAAGCTAAAAAACACCTGACAGGTGGCACCTGTTTACAAACCTCCGATGGAGGAGAGACCTTCCAAGGGAGTTCATTCCACTGTCAAACAGCTCTGACGGTCACAAAGTTCTTCCTAAGATTTAGTTAGAATCTCCATTCTTGTTTACTTGAATCCATTGGTTCGAGTCCCACCCTCCAGAGCAGAAGAAAACAAGCTTGCTCCCTCTTCCAGCCCTTGAGATATTTGAAGCTGGCTCTCATATCCCCTCTCAGCCTCCCCTTTTCCAGGCTAAACACACCCAACTCTCTCAACCGTTCCTCATAAGGCTTGGTTTCCAGATTCTTTGATCCTCTTGGTTGCCCTCCTCTGAACACTTTCCAGCTTGTCAATATCCTCCTTAAATTGCAGTGCCCAGAGCTGGACACGGGATTCCAGGTGGGGTCTGGCCAAGGGAGAATAGAGCGGGACAATGACTTCCCTTGATCCTGACACTGTACTTCTGTTGATGGAGCCTAGAGTCCGTCAGGCCCAGTGGTCAACCAGATGGTTGCAAGCAGGACCCAAGTAATAATAATAATTTATTATTTGTACCCCGCCCATCTGGCTGGGTTTCCCCAGCCACTCTGGGCGGCTTCCATAGAAACCAAAAACCCCACTAAAATATCATACATTAAAAACTTCCCTGAACAGGGCTGCCTTAAGATGTCTTCTGAATGTCAGGTAGTTGTTTATCGTTTTGACATCTGTTGGGAGGGCATTCCACAGGGCAGGCGCCACTACCGAAAAGGCCCTCTGCCTGGTTCCCTGTAGCTTTGCTTCTCGCAATGAGGGAACCGCCAGAAGGCCCTCAGCGCTGGACCTCAGCATCCGGGCAGAACGATGGGGGTGGAGACGCTCCTTCAGGTATACTGGGCCGAGGCCATTTAGGGCTTTAAAGGTCAACACCAGCACTTTGAATTGTGCTCGGAAACGTACTGGGAGCCAATGTAGGTCTTTCAAGACCGGTGTTATGTGGTCTCGGCGGCCGCCCCCAGTCACCAGTCTAGCTGCCGCATTCTGGATTAGCTGTAGTTTCCGAGTCACCTTCAAAGGTAGCCCCACGTAGAGCGCATTGCAGTAGTCCAAGCGGGAGATAACTAGAGCATGCACCACTCTGGCGAGACAGTCCGCGGGCAGGTAGGGTCTCAGCCTGCGTACCAGGTGGAGTTGGTAGACAGCTGCCCTGGATACAGAATTGACCTGCGCCTCCATGGACAGCTGTGAGTCCAAAATGACTCCCAGGCTACGCACCTGTCCTTCAGGGGCACAGTTACCCCATTCAGGACCAGGGAGTCCTCCACACCAACCCGCTCCCTGTCCCCCAAAACAGTACTTCTGTCTTGTCAGGATTCAACTTCAACCCATTAGCCGCCATCCATCCTCCAACCGCCTCCAGGCACTCACACAGGACCTTCACTGCCTTCACTGGCTCTGATTTGAAAGAGAGGTAGAGCTGGGTATCATCTGCATATTGATGGACACCCAGTCCAAACCCCCTGATGATCTCTCCCAGCAGCTTCATATAGATGTTAAAAAGCATGGGGGAGAGGACGGAACCCTGAGGTACCCCACAAGTGAGGGCCCAGGGGTCTGAACACTCATCCCCCACCACCACTTTCTGAACACGGCCCAGGAGGAAGGAGCGGAACCACTGTATAACAGTGCCTCCAGCTCCCAGCCTCCTGAAGACGGTCCAGAAGGATGTTATGGTCGATGGTATCAAACGCCGCTGAGAGATCCAGCAGAACTAGGAAACAGCTCTCACCTTTGTCCCTAGCCCGCCGGAGATCATCAACCAGCGCGACCAAGGCAGTTTCAGTCCCATGATGAGGCCTGAACCCCAATTGGAAGGGATCCAAATGGTCCGCATCCTCCAGGCGTGCCTGGAGTTGTTCAGCAACCACACGCTCAATCACCTTGCCCAAGAATGGAAGATTTGAGACTGGGCGATAGTTGGCCATACTGGCCGGGTCTAAAGATGGTTTTTTAAGAAGCGGTTTAATGACCGCCTCTTTCAGCGGATCTGGGAATGTTCCCTCACAGAGGGAAGCATTCACCACCCCGCAGAGCCCATCGCCCAGCCCTTCCCGGCTTGCTTTTATTAGCCAGGATGGGCAAGGATCAAAGAGACAGGTGGTTGGTTTCACGCGTCCAAGCAGCCTGTCCACATCCTCGGGGGTAAGTGTAACCCAAATGCCCTCAAACCACTTGTATTGCTCAGCACCTTTAAAGCCCTATACGGCCTAGAACCCTCGTACCTACAGGACCGCCTCTCCTAGTATGTACCATGGAGGACCTTACGGTCTTCAAATAAAAACTTATTGGAGGTCCCGGGCCACAGGGAGGTTAGGCTGACCTCAACCAGAGCCAGGACTTTTTCAGCTGTGGCCCCGATCTGGTGGAATTGCTCTGTGCCAAGAGACTAGGGCCCTGCGGGACTTGACATCTTTCCGCAGGGCCTGCAAGACAGAGCTGTTCCACCAGGCCTTTGGCCAAGGCACAGTTTGACCCCCTCCTTCTGTAATCCTCATAGAACTCTAGCCCAATGGTTGCCATTAATTTGACTCTGAATTGTTTTTAGAATGAATTGATTTTAGAATGCTGTGTTACTTTTATTGTTGTTAGCCGCTCTGAGCCCTGCTTCAGCTGGGGAGGGCAGGATATAAATTTATTATTATTATTATTATTATTATTATTATTATTATTATTCATTGGCATACTTCCATTGCCAGTGGAAAACTTGTCAATGATTTGTGGGTATATCCCTGTTTGTAATCCTTTTCTTAATGTCTTGCTTTCAGAGATATTCCGATGCCCCTCGTCAGTTCTGGAGTAGAGCACGGTAACTTGAGGGAACTCGCTCTGGCCAGGATGAAAGACCTGGGGACGGAGGTAAAATGTGATGTTCCAATCAAGCTTCTCTGATTTCTCTTTCCTGACTGTTCCAGAGGTGAACTGACTCCCACGTGAAGTGTGCTTTGTTCCCAGGAATGGCAGAAGAGTGGGGCCGCAAGCCACAGCCCCCCACCCAACAAGAGCTTGTGGACAGGAGGCAGGGAAACATTTCCAAATTTTGTATGGTCTTTTGGGCGCTACACCATCTTGCCCTCCTCAAACTAAGCTGGGGCACCTGATGGCTCGTTGCTCTTACGATCGGAAGAGAAGTCTCTACGGATCAAATCCAGACATGCACGTCATAAAATTTATACAACACTCAATTATAAAAGCAAAACAAAAAAAAACCTCAAAGCAACATAGAAAAAAAAATGAAACAATAAAATTGTCACTAAGAAAAAATAACAGTTAAAGACGCTTTGAGAAGTTAACATAACAGTAGACTAAAAGCGGAATAAAACTCGCACCAGCTTTCTAAAACATTTGGGCAGGCTTGCCTAGACGAGGATGTTTTTTGCAGGCACCGAAAAGAGTACACTGAAGGCGCCTGCCATGGTGTCACGAGGCAGGGAGTTCCCAAGTGTAGGTGCTGCCACACTAAAAGATCAAGTTGTTGCAAATGCAGAACGAGTCTTGCGTGGTACCTGTAACCGCGCCAGTTCTGCAGATAAATGAAGGGTTTGAATGGGTGCATTTGGGGCAAGAGGATCTTGCAGGTGATCTGGTCTCAAGTTGCTATGGGCTTTGCAGACTCATAGTAACACCTCGAACCTGGCCCAGTAGCAAATCGGCAGCCGGCGCAAATCTCTGAGCACAGGCGTTATATGCTGACAATGCCTTGCTCCCATCAGCAATTGCGCTGCAGCATTCTGCACTCGCTGCACCTTCCAGATCAAGAACACAGAACTGGTGTGTGAGTGCAGAGGAGATCTTAATCGCAGAGTCTGCCCTGGGGCCCTGACACAGCTCTGGTGGCTGGGGGCTGAAGGGAATTGTAGTCCAAAACCTCCGGAGGGCACCCAGTTGGGGAAGACCCCCTTAGATCACAGATCCCGTCCGCACACTGGTTTCACTCCATCTGCTTTTCTGCAGGCAAAGACATTTTCTCCCGCTTCCTCATTCATTTATGTACGTATGAAGATTAATATCCTGCCCACCGGCTCACAGTCAAGCTCTCGGAATGGCTTGCAATTAGAAACAAAACAACAAGAGCGTCATCAGATTATAATGGCGCAGCTGAAAATGGCAGCGGCCATAAACAAAAAAGCAGATAGCACATTCGGATAAATAGGAAAAGGTTTTTTGCCTGGCGCTGGAAGGATGAAAGGCTTGCCCCATGCGTTGCTCTCCAAGTTCAACAGCCAATCCTTCCCATGGGGTGAAATGGGTGGTGACCAAGAGACAGCAGCAGCTGAGCCATGTGGGAACAGGTGATGCTGGGTTAAACCAACCCTTTGACCTGCTCCAGATCTTCAGGTAGCCCACGTAGGTTGTTAGGAACTGGCCCGATATGTTATGACCCTTTGGACCAGTCCCAATCAAGCCTCCTGCAGTGAAGTTCTGGACCACCAGAAACTTCTAGGTGGTCTTCAAGGGCAGCTCAACATACAGAGCACTGCAGCGGTCTTATTCAAGTTCTGCATTTCAAGGTATCTGAAGAAGTGTGCATGCACACGAAAGCTTATACCAAGAACAAACTTAGTTGGTCTCTAAGGTGCTACTGGAGGGATGCGGGTGGCGCTGTGGGTTAAACCACAGAGCCTAGGACTTGCCGATCAGAAGGTCGACGGTTCGAATCCCCGCGACGGGGTGAGCTCCCGTTGCTTGGTCCCAGCTCCTGCCTACCTAGCAGTTTGAAAGCACGTCAAAGTGCAAGTAGATAAATAAGTACTGCTCCGGCGGGATGGTAAATGGCATTTCCATGCGCTGCTCTGGTTCGCCAGAAGCGGCTTAGTCATGCTGGCCACATGACCTGGAAGCTGTACGCCAGCTTCCTTGGCCAATAAAGCGAGATGAGCGCCGCAACCCCAGAGTCGGCCATGACTGGACCTAATGGTCAGTGGTCCCTTTACCTTTAAGGTGCTACTGGACAATTTATTTATTTATATATATATATATTGACAGCATCAGACCAGCACGGTTGCCTACCTGAATCAAGTTCTGCAAACCTTCAGGTTACAAGTGGCCAGACTTCCTCTCTCCCAGAAGGGTCACAGCTGGTGTCACCAGCATAAGCTGCTCTATCAGATCTATCACCTGAAGAGCCAGAACTAACAGCATTCCCAAGCTGTGAACTTGATCTTGTAGGGCAGGATGGCTATCATGTGGCCTTCCAGATGTTTTCGGACACAAACTGCCGTCAGTGCCAGGCTGTATGGCCTGTAGTTTGGGCTGGTGAGAGTTGTCCATGCCTATGTAGAATAGTTTGAAGATGTCACAGGTCAAGGTACCACGGACAGGTGGTTTGCCTGGCCTGATAGGTCAAGGTCAAGGTGTTCTAGATAGGGGACTCTTTTGATGTCCTCCCTATTACAGTGGTACCTCGGGTTAAGTACTTAATTCATTCCAGAGGTCCGTCCTTAACCTGAAACTGTTCTTAACCTGAAGCACCACTTTAGCTAATGGGGCTTCGTGCTGCTGCCGTGCCGCCGGAGCACGATTTCTGTTCTCATCCTGAAGCAAAGTTCTTAACCTGAAGCACTTTTTCTGGGTTAGCGGAGTCTGTAACCTGAAGCGTATGTAACCCGAAGTACCACTGTACTCACATCAGATTTCTGCACCTAGAAATTGTCATTAATAGCCTCCTACTGCATTCCGAAGGAACTTGCTCAAGAGTTTCTCTGCTGAACATTATATTACTGCTCCGCCTTCCAATTCCATATCTCTCCAGCATGGAACACAGTGAGAGTTAGCACCTCATTCTGTGCCTTGGCGCTTTACATCAAATGCACATTTCCTCCTGAGATGCATATTTGCTCAGTGAAACCGATGCCAATCAGTATGTCCTTTTTTGCATCTTAAAACACCAAGGATTGGGCTGTTGTTTTTCCCAGAGATTCATTAGGGACGGATCGGTGAGCATTTTTATTTTGAAGCCTCCCCGTTTGAAATGATCGGGTTAAGAACTCTATCCCAACTTCATCTTAACTCTGGGGTTGATTATGGGGAAGGCAGTGTCCCTTATCCTGTCTGTCTCTCCCTTGCATAATTGCCACTGCCTCTCTCCTTTCCCCCCATCTAGTGTCGCGATGTGAGGACAAGAGAGGTCGGAATTCAAGAGATTCATCACAAAGTGAGACCTTATCAGGTAAGACTTGTTCCTTCTCAGCGGGCCTCGCTCCATGTGTGTGTATATGTGTGATTTTTCATAAAACCACATCAAAATTATTTTTTTGTGAACACTGAGACAGGGAGACCAAGAGAGGAAGAATCATAAAATTGTAGAGTTGGAAGGGTCATCTAGTCCAACCCCCTGAGATGCAGGAATCGCAGCTAAAGTCTCCCTGATAGATGGACCATCCAACCTCTGCTTAAAAACTGCCAATGCAGGAGAGAAAGTGCGTCCCCACCACCAAACAGCTCCTACCACCAGAAAGTCCTTCCAAAAGTTTAGTCATGTTCTTCTTTCTTGTCATTTGAATCCATTGGTTCAGGACCGACACCTGGAGCAGGAAAAAACAAGTTTGTGCCATCTTCCACGTGACACCCCTTCAGATATTAGTAGATGACTAATAATATTGATAATAATAATAAATTTTTTGATAATAATAATAATAATTTATATCCCGCAGGGACGCGGGTGGCGCTGTGGGTAAAACCTCAGCGCCTAGGACTTGCCGATCGCATGGTCGACGGTTCGAATCCCCGCGGCGGGGTGCGCTCCCGCTGCTCGGTCCCAGCGCCTGTCAACCTAGCAGTTCGAAAGCACCCCTGGGTGCAAGTAGATAAATAGGGACCGCTTACTAGCGGGAAGGTAAACGGCGTTCCGTGTGCTGCGCTGGCTCGCCAGATGCAGCTTGTCACGCTGGCCACGTGACCCGGAAGTGTCTGCGGACAGCGCTGGCTCCCGGCCTATAGAGTGAGATGAGCGCACAACCCCAGAGTCTGTCAAGACTGGCCCGTACGGGCAGGGGTACCTTTACCTTTACCTTAATAATATTGATAATAATAATAAATTTTTTAATAATAATAATAATAATAATAATAATAATAATAATAATAATAATAATAATTTATTTATATCCCGCAGGGACGCGGGTGGCGCTGTGGGTAAAACCTCACGCCTAGGACTTGCCGATCGCATGGTCGGCGGTTCGAATCCCCGCGGCGGGGTGTGCTCCCGCTGCTCTGTCCCAGCGCCTGCCAACCTAGCTGTTCGAAAGCCCCCCCGGGTGCAAGTAGATAAATAGGGACCGCTTACTAGCGGGAAGGTAAATGGTGTTTCCGTGTGCGGCTCTGGCTCGCCAGAGTAGCTTCGTCACGCTGGCCATGTGACCCGGAAGTGTCTGCGGACAGCGCTGGCTCCCAGCCTCTAGAGTGAGATGAGCGCACAACCCTAGAGTCTGTCAAGACTGACCCGTACGGGCAGGGGTACCTTTACCTTTTACCTATTTATATCCCACCCTCCCCAGCCGAAGCCGGCCTCAGAGCGGCTAACAACAGTAAAAATAACAGAGTTTACATAAAATCATAATCATTTAATTGAAATACATTCTAAAATCAATTCATTCTAAAATCAGTTCAGAGTCAAATTAATGGCAGCCATTGGGCTAGAGTTCTATGAGGATCACCGATGGAGGGGGTCAGACTGTGCCACAGTTTAAGAAAGGTCTTGACAAGCTGGAAACTGTGCAGAGAGTGGAGACCAGCTGGATCAAGGGTCTGGAAACCAAGCCTTGTGAGGAACAGCTGAGGGAGTTGGGTGTGTTTAGCCTGGAGCAGTGGCATAAGAGGTTAGGCTGGCCTCAACCAGAGCCAGGACTTTTTTGGCCGGGCCCTGATCTGGTGGAACACTCTGTCCCAAGAGACTGCGGCCCTGCAAGACTTGACATCTGGAGAGCGGGTGCTTAAAATGGTGCTCAGCCAACTGCGGCTCAACAAAGCCCAGCCCCCTTCCTCCTCTAGGCAGGTTGGGGAGAAGCCAGGAGGAGAGAGGGAGGAGACGCCGCCGCGGTGTGTGTGGTGGTGGGGGAATGGAATGGCGCAGGAAAAAAATGGCACAGCCAGAACGAACAGAATCCACACAGCGATTCTCGGACCGTCTGCAGGCCAGATCCAGAAGGCAGTTGGGCCGGATCCGGCCCCCGGGCCTTAGTTTGCCAACCCATGATTTAGGCTGTACTTGGGACGTCTCATTATATTGCTGCTGATCATTGATTGTAATAATAATAATAATTTGTTATTTATACCGCACCCATCTGGCTGGGCTTCCTCAGACACTCTGGGCAGCTTCCAATAAAATATTACAATACAGTAAGCTGCTTTGGGATTCGTTTGAGTGGAAAGTGGCAGAGAAACAGGTGAAATAAATTCAGATCAATCAGTCAAAACATCTGGAGGTTACAGAGTTGTGCAAGATTGATCGAGCATAAGTGATCCTGGCAGGCCATGAAGGGTCTTATGGTCTGGACCCTTCTGTTGCTGTTTTTTCTTCTCTCTCTCTCTTAATGTTGGCAATGTTCAGGACATTTTTCCTTGTATGCCTGACCTACCAAGGGTCTTTGAGAAGCATGGGTGTGTGATTTCTACAAATGCTTTCTCATTTAAAGTTCCAACACCAGCTTCCCTTGTGTGAAAATACAATAATCTCACCTTCAGCTCTTATCTGATGCTGCTGAAAATCCATCTGCAGCGAGGCGGACGAACGTGAAGCGATTTCACACAAACACAGACACACACACACATACAAACGCTTCGCTCAAAGCCCCACGCAGACAATTGCCTGCATGGCCGTGAAATTGACTTTGGGCTTCTTCGTGGGCTGCACAATTATGATCACCCCCGTGGTTGCCATCTCAATTTTTTATTTTTTTTAAGTCAGCTCAGGCCTTTCTCCTCCTCTTCCTCTCTTTCGAACAGGTTGAACTGATCCGGAGAGACTACGTGGCCAATGGCGGCTGGGAGACCTTCCTATCCTATGAGGACCCTGAGCAGGACATCCTGATCGGCCTGCTGCGCTTGCGGAAGTGCTCAGAGGAGACGTTCCGGGCGGAGCTGAAGGGGGGCGTCTCCATCGTCCGAGAGCTCCACGTCTACGGGAGCGTGGTCCCCGTCAGCAGCCGCGACCCCTTGAAATTCCAGCATCAGGTACCTGAAGCTTGCCTATATACCGTATTTTTCGCTCTATAAGACACACATTTTCCCCTCCAAAAATTAAGGGGAAGTGTGTGTGCGTCTTATGGAGCGAATGCAGGCTCCTTGGCTTCAGCGATAGCAACGCGAAGCCTCCGAAGCGCAGTGGGAGCACTCCCACCGCACTCTGGAGGCTTCAAAGATAGCCGTCTGAAGCCTCCGGAGCGCAGCAGGAGCTCCCACTACGCTCCGGAGGCTTCAGGTGCCCCTTCAGCTAAGCAGGAAGAGAAATGGAAGGGGCTCCATTTCTCCTGCCGCTTTGCTGAAGGGGTGCTGCGCAGAGAGGGGGAGAATTTTTTTTTCTTGTTCTCCCCCTCTAAAACAAGGTGCGTCCTATAGAGCGAAAAATACTATAGTGTGAAAAATACGGTATATAATTTTTAATTAATTGTCTGTGTACAATTTAAAATACAGCACTCATTTTAACATCCCTAAAATATCAGTGACTTCCCTTCTTCCCTTTCCATGGTTCATTTTGCGTATCATAAATCCCTGCATATTTTACAAAAACCAAACCATTCAGTATTCCCTTATTGCAGGCATGTCCAACAGGTAGATCGTGATCTACCTGTAGATCACCGGACATCTGCAGTAGATCACTGGTAGATCACTGGCTCCCCCCAAAGAAGCTGAACAACTGTGGCTCCCCTTAAAAAAGCTCAACATTTTACCTCCTCCCTGGAAGAACTCAACAGCTTTGACCCGAACCCCCCCAAAAAAGGGGTCAATCACTGCCAGTTTTTAACTTTGTGAGTAGATCGCAGTCTCTTGGGAGTTGGCCACCCCTGCCTTATTGTATCCATCAAAACTTATTTACACTGTTGAATTTATCTTAATGCTGCCAAACTTTTCAGGTGTACACAGTTATTTCCCATACAGTGGTACCTCGGTTTAAGAACAGTTCAGCTGAAGAACAATTTTGGTTTATAAACTCTGCAAAACCAGAAATAGTGTCTTGGTTTGAGAACTTTACCTCGGTCTAAGAACGGAATCCAAACAGTGGAAGGGCACTGGCGGCGGGAAACCTCATTAGGGAAATCGCGCCTCGGTTTAAGAATGGTTTCGGTTTAAGAACGGACTTCTGGAACGGATTAAGTTCGTAAACCGAGGTACCACTGTACAGTGGTGCCCTGCAAGACGAATGCCTCGCAAGACGAAAAACCCGCTAGACGAAAGGGTTTTCCATTTTTAGATGCGCTTCGCAAGACGATTTTCCCTATGGGCTTGCTTCGCAAGACGGAAACGTCTTGCGAGTCTTGCAATTTTTTTCGCTTCCCCCCCCCCTTTTTCTAAGCCGCTAAGCCGCTAATAGCCTTTTAGCCGCTAAGCCGCTAAGCCTTTAATAGCCGCTAAGCCTTTAATAGCCTTTTAGCCGCTAAGCCTTTAATAGCCGCTAAACCGCTAATAGCGCTAATCTGCTAAGCCGCTAATAGGGTTGCTTCGCAAGACGAAAAAACCGCTAGATGAAGAGACTCGCGGAACAGATTATTTTTGTCTTGCGAGGCACCACTGTATATTCAAAAAACGTTTTCCAATCTTCTCTAAACATATGTTCTTTTTTGTCTACGTTAAGTCTGCAAGCTGTGCATATTCTGTCGGCTTAAGTTGCCATTCTTCTAGCTCGTGTTCCACTTTTGGGCTAACAAAACACGGGCTGCAGTAGTAGCATACATAAATAACCTTTTTTGACACCTGGGAATTTCAGTCTGAATTATCCCCAACAGAAAGGACTCTGGGTTTTTTTTTGGGGGGGGGGAGTATTTTAAACATTTTTTCAATTCATTAGGGATCATTTCCCAATACTCTTTTACCCTTTTACAAGTCCACCACATATGAAAAAACGTTCCCTCCGCCTCTGTGCATCTCCAGCGCTTACCTGATTCAGTCTTGTACATCTTGGCAAGCCTACTCGGAGTTAAATACCACCTGTGAATCATTTTCAAGTAGTTTTCCTTCAAGGAATAACACGCTGTGGACTTCAAATTGCTTTTCCAAGGTTTTTCCCAGAGGTTAAAATCTATATTGTGTCCTATATCCGTATAGTTATATAGGTCCGTATAGTTAAAGCTACGATTTTCCCAGTAGTGATGTATGGAAGTGAGAGCTGGACCATAAAGGTGGTTGATGGCTGAAGAATTGATGCTTTTGAATTCTGGTGCTGGAGGAGACTCTTGAGAGTCCCATGGACTGCAAGAAGATCAAACCTCTCCATTCTGAAGGAAATCAGCCCTGAGTGCTCACTGGAAGGACAGATCCTGAAGCTGAGGCTCCAGTACTTTGGCCACCTCATGAGAAGAGAAGACTCCCTGGAAAAGACCCTGATGTTGGGAAAGATGGGAGGGCGCAAGGAGAAGGGGATGACAGAGGACGAGATGGATGGGCCATAGGTCTGATCCAGCTAAAGGCTCTCTTTATGTTCTTGAGCAATGCATTGTACGTCTTGGAAGAATATTCAGAAATGGCAGCCTGGCAGCTAGGTAGTTAATTGGCCTTTTTCAGGATTCAGGTCTTCACTAGCTTCCAGTTACTTATTTTGCACCAGATTCCTTTTAACAACACTTTTCAGCACTTGAGAGCAGTGGGCGATAAAAATCTTACTGTTTTTCAAAGAAGAGAGGACACGTGCGAACAGAGAAATAAAGCAATTTATAAGCAGGACAGATAAAAAAATTCAACAGCAGAAACTACATTGGAGCAAAGATCTGGGCGCATACGAAGGCCATGAAAAACCCAAGTGAATGTATTGGGTGGATATTCCAGAGATGGGGCACCACAGCACCCAAGGGCAGCTAGACTGGTGGCTGGGGGCGGCCGCCGAGACCATATAACACCGGTCTTGAAAGACCTACATTGCCTCCCAGTAGGTTTCCGAGCACAATTCAAAGTGTTGGTGCTGACCTTTAAAGCCCTAAACGGCCTCAGTCCTGTATACCTGAAGGAGCGTCTCCACCCCCATCGTTCTGCCCGGACACTGAGGTCCAGCACCGAGGGCCTTCTGGCGGTTCCCTCGCTACGAGAAGCCAAGTTACAGGGAACCAGGCAGAGGACCTTCTCCATAGTGGCGCCCGCCCTGTGGAACACCCTCCCATCAGATGTCAAAGAGAAAAATAAATACCAAACTTTTAGAAGACATCTGAAGGCAGCCCTGTTCAGGGACGTTTTTAATGTGTGACATTTTAATGTACAGTGGTACCTCGGGTTAAGTACTTAATTCGTTCCGGAGGTCCGTTCTTAACCTGAAACTGTTCTTAACCTGAAGCACCACTTTAGCTAATGGGGCCTCCTGCTGCCGCTGCGCCACTGGAGCACAATTTCTGTTCTCATCCTGAAGCAAAGTTCTTAACCTGAAGCACTATTTCTTCGTTAGCAGAGTCTGTAACCTGAAGTGTATGTAACCTGAAGTGTATGTAACCCGAGGTACCACTGTATTTTTAATCTTTGTTGGAAGCCGCCCAGAGTCGCTGGGGAAACCCAGCCAGATGGGTGGGGTACAAATTGTAAATAATTATTATTATTATTATTATTATTATTATTATTATTATCTGGGGTGAATCTCTGCCTCATTGGCAGCAGGGTGGACCCAGAGAACCCTAATCCCACAAATAAACATAACCCACAAGGCACAGTTTGAAGCGCTGGCTAGGAGCCAGAGCGCCGCATAAGGAATCAGCCTGTTCCTCAGATTGTCCTCTGAGACATGGCCCCAGGTATCTCCTAGGCTCCAGAGAGGGTTGGATATTCATTCATTCATTCATTTACATCCTGCCCTCCCTCCCAAAGGAGCCCAGGGTAGAAAGCATGTTAGCGATAAAAATCATTGTTATATTCCTTATCTCCTGCCTTTTCCGCAGTGGGGACTCAAGGCAGCTTACACAAATAAATAAATAAAAACCCAGGTAAAATTCATATAAAATGGTTTAAAAAGGAATCAAACTCCAATAGAATAAAAACAATATTTCAAAAATGGTTAAAACACAGACATGGACCACAAATGAGTTAATATGCCACAGTTAACATCCCAAAGCACAGGTACTGCTTGAATATGATCCTCAGTGGCCAGGCTTTGGGCTTTTAGGGCCAGGCTGTGATTCCGGCATTGCAGGGGGTTGGACTAGATGACCCTGGGGTGCCCTTCCAACTCCACAGTTCTATGATTTTACCCATATTCTTCCACAGGAACCCACCCAGGCTTTGAGGTCTTTGGGGGAGGGGACTTTACGAGACAATACGATAATCTTTATTGTCATTGTTCCATACAGAACAACGAAATTGAAAAATCTACATAAGACATTCAGAACCAACAAGCCTGCTATCCCAGCCTGGTTAGCCCCCTAAAAACTCTGATACCCCATTTTAAAATACAATACACTCCCATAGAGACTCCTTATACTGCGTTTAAAACCAAAATCACATTTGGGTAGAAACTGTTTCTCAGGCGGCTGGTCCTAGTCTTTATAACCCTGTACCTTCTTCCAGAAGGCAGAAGCTAAAAGAGATCATTTCTGGGGTGCGCACTATCCTGCGCTATCTCTGCAGCTTTCTTATGGCGCCTGGAAGCATAGATTTGATCCAAGGGGGGAAGAGTGCACCCAATTATTCTCTCCACAGTCTTTACAACCCTGGACAGCATTGTTTTTCCCAGTCCCACCCACCCTTATTGGCTGCGACACAGGCGGGCAAGGGCCTTCTCTGTGGTGGCTCCTTCCAAGGATCTTTGGAACTCCCTTCTTAGAGAAGCTAGACTGGCTCCCTCTTTGCTGTACTTGAAATGGGCAGGTGAAGACAGTCTTACTCCGACAGGCCTTTGGGAACTGACTGTATTGTTAAAGAAAGGTCTCTTAATAGAACTGCCCTGTTTTTATTATCTGTATTTTAATACATTTTTTGGGGGGGGGTTATATTATTTTAACTCCATTAGAGTTCAGTTGCTTTTTTGACTGCAATCTTTTCTATGCTTTCTGCATTTTATCTGCGTTGTTTTAATTTGTGCAAGCTGCCTTGCGTCTGAGGCGGGGAAGGCAAGATATAAATAAATGCAATAACCATAATCATAATTTCAGATGGTATAGTAGAAGAATGGTCCTTGTTTCCTTTCCACCTGAATCCTCCGGGGCTGATGTTTTAATTTCGCTATTGTCTTCGTGTGTGGTGGGGTTTTTTTTGTTTTTTGTTTTTAAATTGTTTTGTTTTAAATTAAGCGTTCTCTGTCGGCTGCATGTGCATTAAGATGCAACTTCTGTTTGATAGTAATGACCCCGGGCAACAAGGCAGAAGTGGTAAAATGGAATTTGCGGGTTGGCGGGGGGGTATGGAGAAGAGAGAGAGAGAGAGAGAGCAGAAAATGAATGCTTACCTCCTGAAAGCGAAATTTCAAAAGCCGGGAGCGGAAAAATGGTTGACGCACGTGGAAGGTGGAAGGGGGAGGAAAATCAATTGACTGGAGCCCAGCGCTAACAAATTGAAATAGATTGGAAATGGAGACTCGGGCGCATGACGCACAAATGTGGGCTGAAGGAATGTTTATTGGGGGGGCGTCCATCAGTACCCTAAAAATGAATACTCCCCACCCTACACACTCAAATAAACACACACACACTTCTTCCCCAAAACGGTATGCTAGGGAAGGGTATGTTTAGCATAAGAGATATCCCTGTTGTGCAAGAATAATGCTCTTGTTCCTTGCAGATGGGTCCTTTTTTTGTTTGAGGCAGGATCGCACACCCTTCAGAAACCCTCTCCCACTGGCCTTGTGGGCACAGCAAAGCTAGGCATTGCAAATCGTCCTCCCAGCTGTGGCTTGCAGGATTTCCTGGGCCGAATCGCACTGCTGTTTTTTGCAGGGGTGTGTGTGTGTGCAGCGGCAAAGGCAACAGGAGCCAAGTGCCTCCAGACTTTAAGCAAGCTGGCCAAATTGTGCAAACACCCCAGGCGGTAGTTTGCAAACGCCAGACTCTCCTGAAAGCGGGTTTGCGACGAGTTCCGTTCGGCATGCCTTTTCATTTATTTTATTTTTATTTTGCAAGACTTGACGGAGAAAGGGGGAGAAATCTCAAAGCAGTCTGCAAAACAAAAGAAAAAAAAGAGGATCAAACGATAAAATTATCAACGAGAAGAGTTAATAATTACCTAAGACTTTCAAAAAGTTAATAGTCTGAAAACTTGGACCATTGGCGAAGCTGCCTCGGTTGAAGCTGGGCAGGGAACGTTTTTCGAACCTGAGGGCCATATTTCCTTCTGGCCAATCCCCCAAGGGCCACATGTCAGAGGTGGGTGGAGCCAGAGGTGAAAGTGGGCGGAGCCACAGGTGCTAATGTTATGTCTGTGCAGCAAGCTGGATTCTGCACACACCTTTCTCTGTCCCCCATCCAGACAAGCGAGGAGCAATATGGGAGTTTAAGGGCAGGAAAGGGAGTGGCCTGGGGAGGGTTCTGGGGGCCAGATGACCTGGCCCTTTGAAGCTTACCCAACCCTTGTTTATTTTTATTTTTTTAATCCAAACTCAAATTTGTGCATTCGTCAGTTTCCTGCACTGCAAGCTGGAGTGTCCCAGCAAAACCACCTCAAGATTACTCGGGAAACAAAAGAGAAATGTTTGGAGTGGTTTTTAAAAATTCATCTCTGCTGTCACACTGCCTTTTTTCACATCCGCAAGTACTTCTGTGACCTCCGTCCCCCAATTCCACCAGCAAGAGGTTTTTTTTAAAACAAACTCCCTGCTAATCCCTAAATTACAAGTTCCTTGTGATCTTGAAGACAAACTCACTTGTCTTCCTTCCTCTAGGGATTTGGGATGCTACTGATGGAGGAGGCGGAAAGAATCGCGAAGGAAGAGCACGGGTCGTGGAAGATCGCCGTCATTTCAGGTATGCCGGGCAAATTTGCCTCCCACTTTTAACAGCAGGGGGGGCGGCTGCAGCAAAATTGTGCGAGGTGTCGTGCCCTGCCTCAACGCTGCCCCCTTGCAACACACTCCATTCCTTCTCCCTCCCATATGGTTCCCTTGCCCGTCCTCAGGTTTTCCAAAGACTTTCTCCTACTCATGTAAACTTTTGGGTTCTCCAAGACTGCTTGTACCAGGCTTCCTCAACCTCGGCCCTGCAGATGTTTTGAGACTACAATTCCCAGCATCCCTGACCACTGGTCCTGCTAGCTAGGGATCATGGGAGTTGTAGTCCCAAAACATATGGAGGGCCGAGGTTGAGGAAGCCTGGCTTATACCTCCCTCTTGATTATTTTATTTTCTGAACACTATTGATATCAGTCAGGTGCTTTTGCTGTACAGACAACCCTCGGTTTGCACAGGACTTGCGTTCCAGGTCATCGCGTGCAACGGCAGAGCACACATAACCCTCTCCGACCCCTTTTCCGGCCACTTCCAAGTCACCGCTATGCACACCAATTGGGCGTGCACAAATCGGTCATTAACCTGTACTGTCCGGCACCTGCTAAAACATTCCTGTTTAGGCAAGTCTACCCAGGCGGCGCTGTGGTCTAAACCACAGAGCCTAGGACTTGCCGATCAGAAGGTTGGCGGATTGAATCCCCGTGACAGGGTGAGCTCCCGTTGCTCGGTCCCTGCTCCTGCCAACCTAGCAGTTTGAAAGCATGTCACAGTGCAAGTAGATAAATAGGTAGCGCTCCGGCGGGAAGGTAAGCGGCGTTTCCGTGCGCTGCTCTGGTTCAAAATATAGTCTGCCCCCCCCCAAGGTCTGAGGGACAGTGGACCAGCCCCCTGCTGAAAAAGTTTGCTGACCCCTGTCGGAGAATCCCGACCAGAGGTTGCCTGAAGCTTTCCTCAAAGGCGTGTTCTGATCCTTCCATGAGATTCAGACTTGCGGGGTGGCACTCGTTGAAGACGAAGCGAACAGGGAGCCTGCCTCCCTCCTAACCCGGTCACTGCGCTCGATGAGTTCTATTGGGGATGAGAACGCTCCGTTTGGCTAAAAAGCACACCATGACAGAAAGTAGAGAGGAGCTGTTAAGGGAAAGGGCTCGTTTCTCCGCTGACGCCAATTTGAGACTGTATCTGAATGAACCGGGAGGAAATTGGGTAACCATTCTCTCCTTGTGAGGTTATAGGCCTGGCAAGGGTCTCGTTCTAATGCTAATATCGCCAACCTGAGCATGCACAAGACAGAAATGTTAAAAGGGGAATGTTGCTCTTCCCCAGTCGGGGAGCAGGGAGATGCAGCCGCAGTGTGAGCTCTGTGTTGACTGCCTGCTTCTTTGAGCCAGCACAATATTCCCAAGCAGACGGTTGCCTGTCTCTTCCGCCCCGAAGCGATCGGGATTCAGAACTGGGCTCTAAGAACGAAAAGGGAAAGAGAGTCGGTCAAAGAGCCTTCAAAGAATAGAGGCTTTCCAGCTGTTACCTGGGAAATGCAATCTAAAACGCTCAACTTCCTCCGTGGGGTTTTATCAGAAATAAAAATACAGGCAGGGTTGCGCCGGCGGAGATTATCTGGCTTTGTTAATTTCAGGAGGCGGGTGGGTTTGCATGGGACATTTTCTCTTCTTCCCTTCCTTTCTCCAAACCGCCTGTCTGAGCATTCACAACGCAGCAGCGAAATTATCGTGGCCTCCCTCACCGGCCAGCAGGATCGGAAGTCTCCATTCATACATAGACATATGCATATACCGAGAGGAATGGAGCCTTCGTCTGCACCCTGCCTTTGAAAAACAGCCAAATCTGCTTGGCCAGGGGCATGTCGCTGATCTCCCCTGCAGAGAGTTTGCTTTGCCTGTTGGATTCCTTGGCGCGAGCCACAAACAATGCAGATTGTCAGCTATTTAATTTGTCGGCTGGATGGGTGGTAATCTGCAGGGACTGTTGGAAGGACCGCAGATCATTGTGTTTTATGCATCGGGACTCAGATGTTAAGAACACAAGAACATGGCAGTTGCTGGAAACCTTAGGCAGGGAGAAAAGGCTCTTGTTCTCGGGCCCTGTTTCTGGGTTTCCCACAAGGGGCATCTCTTTGGCCACTGTGAAAACAGGGTGCTAGACTAGGTGGCCCATTGGCCTGAAACAGCAGGCTCTTCTTGTGTGCTTATAGGTCAGCCTTCCCCAACTTGGGGGCCTCCAGGTGTTTTGGACGACCACTCTCATGAGCCCGAGACAAGGATGGTGGGTCTCCAAAACTTCTGGAGGGCACCGGGTTGGAGAAGGCCGAGACGCGATGTGAGCTGAGGGATCTCCATTGCCCATTTGGACTACCGTATTTTTTGCTCTATAAGACTCACATTTTCCCTCCTAAAAAGTAAGGGGAAATGTGTGTGCATCTTATGGAGCGAATGCAGGCTGCGCAGCTATCCCAAAAGCCAGAACAGCAAGAGGGATTGCTGCTTTCAATGCGCAAGCAATCCCTCTTGCTGTTCAGGCTTCTGAGATTCAGAATATTTTTTTTCTTGTTTTCCTCCTCCAAAAACTAGGTGCGTCTTGTGGTCTGCTGCGTCTTATAGAGCGAAAAATACGGTAGCTGCTCGTGAACGGAGCTGACGACAGAGTAAATCTTTCCCCACCAATGTTTTTTCTCCCATTTGGACTTCGGAGACCGTCTTCCCGAAGTGCCCCTTTTTTGGAAACTTGTGTTTTTCTTTTCAACTTCTTCCAGAGATGCCAAAGAACTGGTTATCCTTCGTAATTGTATCTCATTTGCTCCATAAAAGAAGCAAATAAGAGGAAGCTCTTGAGAGCTTAAGAGCCCATATTGAACCAGCGTGACACCTGCGTGGGCTGGCTTTGTGATAGAGACCCCCGTGAAGTCTTTTAAGTTCTTAACTTAGCCACACATCAGGCGATGGAAGTTCTCTCTCTCTCAGCCGGTGATCGTTCTGATTTGCCGAAGTGGTGGATCTTGTGGGAGGAGAGAGGGGGCACTTAGCACTTAGTGCTGGGCTGGAAAGGGGGCTGGCTTTCCCCCTTGAGTGCTTGTTAAAAGCTGCATTCTTTTGCCGCTTCGGTTGGTTGGAGGGGGGCGGCGCTGTGACGTTTAGCATCGCTTGGAGAGACCCTCTAATCCCACCTCTGCCCTAAGACAAAGCTATCCCACCGACACATCTCCATCTCCCCTTTCCTAGGCATTCTCCAAAAAAGAGGAGATTAAGGAGGCTATAGAAATTGTGCTTTTATAGCAGGGAAGAGAATGCTTGGATGGAAACCCAGAGGAGGAAGTTCAATCTAAAACGAGGGCGGCGGGCAAACCTTTGGGGTAACTTGCCGGCTCTGAATGTTTTCCCCCAACCTGTGTCTAGTGCCTCCCCTTCTGTGGTTTCCAGCCACTGGTACTCAGAAGCATTGCATGGAGCCAAAGCAGAGCCATTCTGCATGTTGTTGTCGTCGGTATTTGTATGTCTTGATGGACAATGGAGCACACCTCCAGGGGTGAAGTCAAACAACTGCGTTAGCAGCAGCAGACTGACCTCCTGCAAGCCTGGGCAGTGTGCATGGAGGTCCTGGCCTTCCCAAATGACCCCCTTCTCAGCCTGGCTGATGTGGTCCATAGCAGAGCAAGATGTTTGGCCCCAGCTTGGCTGCTGTAAGGAGGTGTACAAAGCGCCACCCAACCCCCTTAAGGACTCCATTCCGGATTTGTGTAGGGTTTACTCCTTAGCCTTTTCCTCTCCTGAAGATGTCCTGAGATGGCCCTTTCCACCCTGAAGTTGTCTAATCCTGCCTCCCCTTGCCTACTGCTGCTCTAGATCTTTGCCCCCTGACTCCCACAGGCTTCTTCTGCAAACTCCCCAGCTCCTAGGACTCCCCAGCTGAAAGGACGACCCAAAGGAGCAGCCAGGCACAGACCAGGACTGCCCTTTGCCCCCTATCTCTCCCCCTTCCCTATTGAAAAAAAAAATGCTTTGTGCATGCCATCACTCTCCGATCAGAGACTTCAGTCCAGCCATTGTTGCAACATGCTCCTTAGTCATTTCGAAGATGTTTAATGCCTTCCTATTTTATGTTGGGTCTGTGCGTGAGCCGGTGGTGGTGGGGAAGGGAGATAAAAATATCCCCCCCCCCCCGCTCGCCGTCATTTCAATGACGTCCCACCTCTCCTGTGGGGCAGCGCTGGGGCAGGGGGAGGGGGCCCGCCTTGCCAGCGTTGCGCTTCTGCGCCGCGAATTAATTACCACGTAGCGGGGCTGATCAGCTTTCCCCCAGACCAGATTTCGATTTGTGTGCCGTCAAGTAGAAAATTAACATGGACACAGGCCAGAAATGCTGAATGCCTGAGTGGGCACTGCAGCCGCCGGGTCTGGGAAGGAGGGGAGGACTCCGGGAAGCGATGACGTCCGAGCTGGCTGTCCCTTCGTTGGCCAGCTCCTTTGAGAAACAAAAGGGGGAAATTGAGCTGCCGCAGGACTGAGGACTCCGCTCTCCTTCCTGCCATTGAACCTCGGAATATCTGTAGCTCGGTCGGCCAAAACATGAGCCTCTTAATCTCAAGGGTTGTGGGTTCGAGCCTCACGCAGGGCAAAGGATTCCTGCAGTGCAAGGGGTTGGACTAGGTGACCCTTGCAGCCCCTTCCAGCACGGCAATTCTATGGTTCTGTGTTCGTTTTGGGGGGCGGGGGGCAGAGGGAGGTATGCTGCGCACACACAAGCTCTCTGTTGGAAGAAATACAGTGGTACCTCGGGTTAAGTACTTAATTCGTTCCGGGGGTCTGTTCTTAACCTGAAACTGTGTTTAACCTGAAGCACCACTTTAGCTAATGGGGCCTCCTGCTGCTGCCGCCCTGCCGGAGCACGATTTCTGTTCTCATCCTGAAGCAAAGTTCTTATCCCGAGGTACTATTTCTGGGTTAGCGGAGTCTGTAACCTGAAGCGTATGTAACCTGAAGCGTATGTAACAGGAGGTACCACTGT